TTTTTTTTATTATTATATATATATATATATAATCCTTTCTCGGATCAATTTTGATTTTAAAAATCAACATATGTAAATCCATTTTAATTATATAATTTTTTAAAGTATTGAATTAAGTATCATTCTGAATTAAATTTCAATGAGGTTTATGCGCGCCTTAATTTTTCATGTTTATTAAATTGTGTAGATTGCTTATTTGACTTTGCAAAATTTAAAGGAAACTATTAAAAAGTTTATCCATTTCTTAAAATACAACTCTTAGAAATTAGAATTATGGCTTTTATGAAGAAAATTATCTCAAAAATATGAATCAAATCTCAAGAGAATATTATTAAGACATTTAAATTTTAACGTTCAACTAAAAGAACTGTCTTTTCGCTGGAAAATTATTCTATCAGGACACTAATATAGAGATGCATTTGGAGTCCATTGATATGCGGATACGTGGCTTCAAGGAAACACACGCTTTCCTGTGATCCGGCTCGGTAACACAGGAGAATATTCCTCATGTGTTATTCCAAGTTATTCAGGTGTTATTGTGGTGGTATTGATGTGTTATTGTGTTGTTATAACACAGAGAATATTCCCAGAACATAACACTTGAATAATGCAGAATAACACGGGGGAATATTTCACTGTGCTAAAACAAATTTTTTTTTATTTTTTGTCACCTCCATATGTGGCGTGATTTCATTGGACTCTGAACGTATCTTACGTCCGGATTCCGGATGTAATATTTCTTCCTTTTCACTCTCCCACCGATAATTCTTTGTCGCTCGAGTTCTTTTCCTCTAAATGAGCAACCTCTAACTTGGTGACATTTCAAAGACATGAGTTCGATCATATATAATTTATATATTATCTCTATCTTTATAGATAATACGATTTTAGTTGGCTAATGTTAATAAAAATATATTTATTTTGCATTTGGTTAAATAAGATATTTATTTACTATTTTTCTATTAATGTTAAACTTTTTTTTTAAAATTAGTGAAATATTTGTACCAAAAGATGTTGTAAAATAACATATAAGTGTATTATCAAATCATTTTATTGAGGTTATAGCGAGATTGAGCATTCAATATAACTATGATTAGAATAACAAGTTATTGTCATATTCATTTCAATAATAACTTGTAAGGTAAATTAAAGAAGCCATTCTTTGTTTTTTCTATATTTGCTTAAACAATAGTTCACTGTAAAAAAAATTAAGAAGGGTAAAATATAATTCTAAAAAATTGCATTAAAAAGAATAACATGAATACATCAAATATGTGTTTGCATGAATTTTGAGAAAATTTAATGGGACAAGGATAAAAGAGTACTGCTAAGGAGAGCTCACGAGTGCAAGATCAAGGGCCTACGGGCGTAAGACCAAGGGTCCACGAGCAGGGAACGAATGGTACTTTAACAAAAAAATTAAGAATCGTGTAACAGAAGACTAATTGTTCACAAACGGAATACTGAAAGACCTATATGACCAGGTGAAACGCCCCTAATCCTCGGTTGATAGCTAATCGAGTGAAGGTTATCCAAAATGATAACTGAAGCTTATCAAGACAACTCTCGTCAATGGTCAGCAATTTGTCTATCGAAGCCAACTTAGACAGACAAGGGACTATAACTCTTGGTGGTGACCATAGAATTTCTTCATCAGAGTCATCCAAAGTATCGCCATGTGAACCTTCAAGTTTATATACCTGAAAGGCTTCTTCTGCTTAGAATTTGTATCGTAATCGACACATATGGTAACTTTAGAGATTGGCAGAGTAGGGAGCCTTCTGGTTGGCTCCATTGCAAGTGGGTTATGTAACCTTCCTTTTTGCTTCACTATCTCTGTACCTTTGATTAGACGAGTGCTAGGAAGAGGAGGGGCCCGCAAACATCCCATAATGCTCAGAGATGGTAGAGACGCCCTGTTATGAGGAACATAATACTTGACACGTCGTATATACCAAATTCGTTCATAGAAAAGGGTTGGACATCACCCGGAATGAAACTATTCCCCTCCATGCATATATTTAATTCATGAAGGTACCGTCCCGTATTCATGAATTCAGGGTCATTCGAGCAAAGCTCTAAAGGACGTATTCCCGTCGATGACGTGAAACTTGGCTTCACTTTTGAACTCTCCAGATTAGAGAGGAAGGGTGATGGACCCAAGGGTCTTTCAGCCCTTTTCGTTGAAGTCATTCAACATGATCCGATCGGAGCACAACCGCTGCATGCCTAATGAAAGCAACTCAAGGGTGCGCACACTAATGATGTTAATGGGCACTCCGGGATAAACTAAAATATGGTTTAAGGGTGTATCGTATATCATAGCGGTCATGTACATGAGACGATTGCGGTCCATAGTGCTCAACAGCAGATCATCCTAAAAAATGGTGATGTCAGCTAATGTCTTGCGGTTTGACCGACTTCTTCATTCTCTCCTCGGTGTAATAGGTGTGGAAGACTTCAAGCTTCAAGAGGACCTTCACCAAAGTCTCTATCAACTCGGAGAATAGAACAAGAGCATCATAAATGGTCAACAATGCTAGAAACATTTTCAGGTGTGCCAACACGATGTTATCCACTTTACTGAGGGATTCTTAGCTTTTTTGCTCTGGGCAACAGCTTCATGGGGGTCATCCACCTCCTGAGTGATGATCTCCTTTTCCTTATCAAGCTAGATAGGTTTAACTACTCTTGGGAGAAGGATTTTGCCACTTCACAAGTGGACTTCTTGGATATCCTCGTTAGGGGACCCAGTAGGATTGCTTCCAATGGGACAATCAGGTAACAAAGCTATGAGAGGGCTATGAGAAACAGACGTTTCACTTACATCATCTAACAAATCACATAAATTGTCAGAAATGCGGTAAGTGCCATCAAAGGAGGGCAATAACCGATATTGTCCCGCTCCTTCACTACAAGCACCTATGCATACCCATGAGAGCTAACCATAAAAATGGATAACATATAAAAATACTCTAGAAATGTCTTCTTTCATTGATTTGTCATCAATGTGAAATGCTTCAGAGGGAACATGATCCAGCTCTGAGCTATCATTTACATTAAAAAATAAAGGAAGTACATCAAAAGAAAGTACATCTGTAGCACAAGTTGTAGTAGAAGCAAGAGTGGGAGCAGTTATAACAGTTGCAACAACTCTGATGGATCCACTTCCAAGAGGCTTCTCCACATACTGCTCCTAAATCTCTTTCTCCCTCGCCTTGTAACGGGCTTCAAGCCAATTTATGAAGACTTAACAGTGCTCATGTACATTGCCCAAGTGCTTGTGATAGTGGCACAGTAAAAAAATAGTATGAACGGAATATGTACTCAAAGTAGGAGAACAATAAAAAATAGATCTTTTTTATCAATATCAACACAAAGTGGTACAGTAAGAGATGTGGCAAGGGCCGCTACGGAAGTAGTAGTGAACGGAATAAAACCTAGCTTCGACAATTCCCCATCAAGCTCCATTCCGGAGCCTCTCGGGATTCTTGGACAGGCTTATGACTTGTAATGCAACATTGAAGTACCTATTGACATTTTTCCTAAAACATTAAAAATTGAAATTTGATGACTCGATTACGAAGACTGTCCTGATTTATGAAATAATTAGCAACTTATTCATCAACTCTTACATTTCACATTAGATCACATAATTTAAGAAAAGTTGCGCTTCTCATTCGAACTATATTAATGCAATCAAAATCATTTTCATTGTATAATATAAATAGATAAGTTTGATGTTGTATATTCCGGTCAGGGCTATACTTTTTTATTTTTATCCCAAGCTTTTACAAAAATGAAATAATCGTTGTTGCAATGATAATAGTTGCCCTAAAACTTTGAACTATTCTCATATCTTCCTCAAAGTTGAACATACTATAGTGATGTTCGCCATTATCTTCAAAGATCTTTATACTAAAATCAACAAATTTTGAACATTATTATAATTGTAATCATAACATCTCCATAAACAACATACATGTGTGCACGCTAATAATAAAGAAACAAGATAATTAAAATATAGATCAAAACAATATGGTTTTGAGTAATGTTAATTCAATTGAAATAATAATCATTTCTTATCCCCACTAATTGGCATTTCCTGATGCGATATGAAAGATGTGCATACTGTATATAAGACTATAAGTGTCATGATTACAATACAACAATATCATTTATTATATCCCTTGTGAGTTATTATATATTTACATATTTAAAACCCAAACTTTGATTCATACATTTTATACATTTATGTCATCCAAATCTTTCATATCATACATCAAAATTACCATTATTTTACCTTTTTTAATGAGAACCTTTTAAAGGGCAAGGTATCACATATGTAATAATTGAAGTTTAGGAATTAGATATGTAAATGAGTCGTGTATATTTAAATCTTTCAAAATGAAATATATGAACAGAAAAAACTATAGTGATATCAGATTAATGAGAAAATATTACATCCGGAGTCTGGATGTCCGGACAACCGCCAGATGTAGCGAGAAGAGTGGAGGTCCGATTCCGCCCATCTTCTGTGGCATCCGGGCCGTTGTCCGGACATTTGAAATCCGGATCAAAGATTAGCTTTAATCTCCCAAACAACAAGTTGAAAAGTGCGACCATTTCGATCCTCTGCCACAAGTCACAAAGGAGTAAAAACTGAAAATTTAAAAAAATCATAAGAATCTTGTTACAGAAATACCAGATTTCAAATTAGAAAAAGCAGATTTCAATCTCTAAGAAGAACAGTTCATCCTCCAAACCCAAGCCATCAAAATGGAACCCCAAATCAAGCTCCCACACGTCGATCTCGAAGCAAAATTTCCCGCTCGATCGCCTTTCGAAGCCACATCTCCGCATCCTCCATCATTCCCGGACTCAAACGAACCATAAGAATACAGAACTCCGCCTCATTCAGCACCCCATCGCCATTAATATCCCCTTCTCTCACCATCTCCTCCGCTTCCTCCCCCGTCATTCCTTCCATCCCCATCATCGCCGCGTTCCTCCTCAAGCTCTCCGCCGTGATCGCCCCTCTCCTCGCATCCGCCAGCAGTCGAAACCCTCCGCATAACTCCGATACGAATTCTTCTGCTTCCAGTTTCTCCGCCATCCTCGGCAGCAGGTCTTCGTACTCTTCAATCTCCTCCGATTTGATTTTCTCTGCTGCCATCGTGTTGTTCGGATAGTGCAAGAAAGGTGTTCGATGAAATGCCGAAGCAAGTTCGAGATCCGAATGCTATATTTTTTTCTGGTATTTAACAGCGGCTGGACATCGTGGGTGTGGTGAGGCTGAACGTGATGGCCGCTATGTCGAGATTTCGGCGAAGTTTCGCTGACGGACACCGACCAAAACCCGTGCAGTTCTCTGTTTTGGACGAAGAGGTCATTTGATGTGAACACCTTGAATTTTCAATGTATTAGGTGAGCATATTTTTTTTATTTATTTTGCATTTGGAAGTTAATTTGTCGGTAGCTTAATTTCATATTAAGCAGCCGTAGGGGTTAATTAATTAAACCTATTTTTTAACAATGTGGTGTAATTATGCTTATTTATTACAAAGTTGTGATATTTATCACTTGATAGGATAGTTGAGCAAAGACCCAAAATAGTCTACAATTATTTACGTGGGTTGTTCTAGTCTCAGAGTTTATAGAAGTGTCAAAGTAATTCTCAAATTCTTAAAATTGGGGCTGAAATGATTCTCAAAGCGGATCATTAAAGCTTAATTTTAAATTAGTCGGAAACTATTATGACATTTTTATAAAATTTAGGATTAAAGTCGCCTCATATAAATAGTCCGGGACTGTTTTGACACTTTGCTCTTAAAGTAGTTTGATTGCTTATACCATAGATATAAACTTCTGCGAGACAGAATAACACTTTTTTTAGAACAATTTATAGTTTCATAATAGATTAGGAACATTTTCAATTCAAACCAATTATTATGCCATATTAATTAGCACATTTAATTAGCATAATTATGCAAAATTAGTAAACAAAGCTTCATACAGGATTGCACATTAATCAATAGAATTTGGCAAGATTAGCAAACAAGGCAGATCAATGTGATGGAGTCTCTCACAAGAAAGACCTTTTAGTGGCAGATATCACTTAAACGATAAGGATTCGATTGTTACGTTTTTAATTATTCCTTTTAGGTCGGAATTTTCCAAAGCCTTGTCATAGATCACCATTTTACCGTTTTTCTTCGGATACTCAAGATAAATATATTGGTTAATTGAAAAAAAAAAACCATTTTTTTCTAATAAACTATCTTATCACAAATAGCATACTGCATTATTCAATTCATAATTTACAACATCCTGAAAAAAAAAGGAAAGAAAGTCCAGTAGAATGGACAATGAATTGCATATATTATGTAATTTTACCCTCGCTCTCTCTTCCCTCCACTCTTTTAATGTTAAAAATCTGAACTTTTTTAAAGATAGCTAAAACAGTATAAAGATTTCTCTGCCACAAAAAGTTAGAAAGCAAGACAGACAAAGCCTAAACATCTATCTAATCTGGAAGGGATTTGAGTCGTATGTGACAAGTATGCTATATGATAAGCACATTCTTCTTAATATAATAGGAAAGGAAGACGCTTCTGCAGTTTCTCCACTTCAGCCAATTGCGTGGAAATTGACACGAAGTTGTCATTTGATGAAATAGGAGAGACAGAGAGAGAGAGAAGATTTTTTTAGATGCAGCCCGCTTGGGTTCAAGAACTCTGGCGGAGGACCACAATGGGAGGGAAATTTTACGGTGCTTGGGTTAGGTGTACTGTAGGCTTGCATGTTAAATGGTAAGGAATATTTATTTGGCGCTCTTTGGATTTACTAGCATAATAATTCATATCGAAGCTTTGCTGAATCGTTTACTGTGCTTGGGTTAGTTGTACTGTAGGCTTGCATGTTAAATGGTAGGGAACATTTATTTGGCGCTCTTTGGATTTGCTAGCATAATAATTCATATCGAAGCTTTGCTGAATCATGGTGGAAGGCTAAGAACTAACTACTGAAAGCATGAAATCACTTGATCGCAACCATTCTTCATTGGTCTTTGTTGAGCAGTGAACTAAATTACGAGAATGAATTTCGATCTGATACATGTTGAGAATTTTAGGGCAAAGAAATGCAAGAATCAGCACAAATTTAAAAAGAAACACAGAGATTTAATGAGGTTCGGGAGCACAGCGATGACTTTCTCTTCAATTTAGAAAAAGAGTACAAGATACCCTTAGGGTTATAATAAGAGTACAAGATACCCTTAAGGTTAAAATACATCATCTATCTATATAGCCCTGACGTACGATATGTAATTACAAAATTACCCATGTCTCGTACCGCAGAGTCGTTACCCCCGCGCTCCCAATCCACATAACGAAATCCCCCCGATTGGACAAATGCTTCCGCTTCACTCCGCTCGCGATCTCCACTGTGTTGGCTCGCTCCGTTCCGCTCCAGCATCTATCCCTTATCTAGTATATGAGTCATAACTAACAAAATTAGGAGAATGAAGTTGGTCCCGATACACTTTATGCATCTGATCAAAAACCCAAAATAACATGCTTTAAATATTTCAGAATGATAACAACTTTATTGAAAACGTTAAGCTTGCCTAATTGGACGTGTTATGACATTTTTATTCGATGTGCGTTGACGCGCTTTCTAATGTTATTCACAATTGAGAGTAACACTCATTATTATGTAGCAATAGGAGCATATTGAGATAGAAATGAACTAACCATTAGAGCCCATAACTGCAGAAAGGATGGAGCACGCAGAGAAATTATTATATCAGGACTCCGCATGCAGAACTGCTTGCGAAGTCCAATATAGAGCTGACACGTGAAAAGTTGTGACCCACCTCCATAAAAAATAAAAAAAATAATGAAAATGCGGGACCCGACCCGACCGTGTTATAGGAATATTCCCTTGGCGTTATTTTGAATATTTTCTGCGTTATTCATGTGTTATTGATGTGTTATTGAGTTAATTTTGAGATATTATTGTTCTTTAAACAATAATACCAATAACACATGAATAACGCGAAAAAGAATACTTCAATAACACAATAATAACACATGAATAACACACCAATAATGCATTAAAAATGCACAACCCGGCTCGACCGTATTATAGAAATATTCCCTTCACATTATTTTGAATATTTTTTATGTTATTCATTCGTTATTGGTTTGTGTTGAGAAAATAGGGGCGAAGAAAAACAGTAATCGACACAAATCCAGAAGAACACAGAGATTTAACGAGGTTCGGCAAAGATGCCTACGTCCTCGGGAGCAGAGCGGCGAGTTCCTTTCAATATTCAGAAAAGGGTTACAGAATAGAGGATACCTCCTGGGGTTACTAACAGGCCTATTTATAACCCCAGGAGTAAACCCTAGGCACAATATGTAATTACAACATTATCCCTGTACCATACTGCGGGGCTTTGCCCCCGCAACCCAACCCACGTAACTTCCCAATTTGGACAGATTCTTCCGCTCCGCTTCGATCCTGCGTCTGTTCCTGTGTTTTATGAGCCATACCATAACAAATCTCCACCTTGGCGAATATCCAACCCCTTAGGAGAAAAATACCAGGGAGTTAGACCTGCACCACTGTGGGTTGGGTCACCATGTTTCTCTAACAACTGCAAACATTCAACAAGTCCAAGCAATGCAAGAACTTGTTGATAGTAACTGACTTGGTCAACATATCAGCCGCATTCTCATCAGTATGAACCTTTTGTAAGAGTATCTCACCAGAAGCAATCAACTCTCTAATCTTGTGATACCTGACATCAATGTGCTTGGTTATCGCATGGTACACCTGGTTCTCAGCCAGATAAATAACACTCTGACTGTCACAATGCAACTGAACTCCACCTTGCTCATTACCCAGTTCCTTTACTAGCCCAGTAATCCATAAGGCTTCTTTAACAGCTTCAGCTACTACCATGTACTCAGCTTCATTTGTAGATAATGCCACAACATACTAAATTGTTGATTTCCAACATATAGGCCCTCCACCAAGAGTAAACACATACCCAGTTGTAGACCTTCTGCCATCCAAATCACCTGCATAGTCTGAATCAACATACCCCACAACTGAAGGATCATTCTTCTGACTGCCAAAAATAATTCCATGTCCTACAGTACCCTTCAGATACTTGAAAATCCACTTGACTGCTTCTCAATGTCGCCTTCCGGGTTTAGCCATGTATTTGCAGATTTGACTAACAGCATGAGCCAAATCAGGACGAGTACATACCATAACATACATCAAGCAGCCAACTGCGCTGACATATGGAACCTTTGCCATGTCTTCTATTTTTGTATCAATCTTAGGACATTGTTCCGAAGAAAACTTAAAATGATTTGCCAAAGGAGTGCTCACTGGTTTTGCATTGATCATCTCAAACCTTTCCAGCACTTTCTCAACATAGCCTCGTTGAGATAGACATAATCGCCTTGAGCCTCTGTCTCGATGAATCTCCATTTCAAGAATCTTCTTCGTAGGACCCAAGTCTTTCATGTCAAATTCCTGGCTTGGTAAAGCTTTCAAACCACAAACATCATTCAAATTTTTTGCAGCAATCAGTATATCATCAACATACAGTAACAGAGAAATATTGGAATCATCATCAAGGCTCTTCACATAAACACAACAATCATACTATACTCACATCGTCTGTAACCAATCTGAATCATGTAGGAGTTAAACCGCTTGTACCATTATCTTGGAGAGTGTTTCAACCCATACAACGATTTATTTAACATGCAAACCAGATGCTTCTGTTCAGGTTGAGGGAATCCTTCTGGCTGCTCCATGTAAATCTACTCCTCTAGATCACCATGCAAGAAAGCAGTTTTAACATTGATCTGCTCCAAATGCAAATATCAAATGTTTACTAATGTAAGCACTGCCCTGATTGAAGTATGTCTGACCACAAGAGAAAAGATTTCATCATAATCTATCCCTTTCTGCTCTGAAAATTTCTTTGCTGTCAATCGAGCCTTGAACTTTTCCTCTTCTTTTTCTAATACTGCTGGTTTCCTTTTGTACACCCACTTGCAACCAATAGCCTTCTTTTCCTCAGAAATTTGAAATAGCTCAGAAGTGCGATTTTTCTGTAAAGACTTCATCTCCTCAACCATTGCACTCATCCATTTCTCTTTCTCCTGGGTAGTGATAGCTCCTTAAAAAGTGGTTGGATCATCGCTGCTGATGAGAAGTGCACAAGAGACCAAGTATTCATAAATCAATTTGCTAGGAGGCTTTATATTACACGAGAGACCAAGTCTTCATAACCCAATCTGCTAGAGCGTCTCTGTCTATCTCTGGCTAGACTGTAATTCTGCAGATCATCGGGAATAGAATCACCATGTGTTGGATTTGAACTTTCACCTCTCTCAGAAGCTACTGGCTGTTGTTCTAAATCCA